TCATTACCTCTGTAACTTGCTCAGCTATCAAAACTTTGGAGTCCAGTCCCTGGACCAATTATGTACCTCTGTAACCTTTTGACTACCGCCCACAGGATGGGTATGGGGTGCATAATAAACATATTAAACTACTAAGCCTAAGCCTGGCCACTACAACATCAGTCAGTACTTGTAACCAAGCCTAAGCCTGGCCACTACAACATCAGTCAGTCTGTTTACATTGCAAGTTGCTCCATAAACATACTTAAATTATTGCATAAAAACGGATGGCCCCGTGGCTAAAGCTCCCACTTCACACAACGGAGAGCCCGGGTTCGATTCCCGGCGGGTGGAAACATTTCGACACGTTTCCTTACACCTGTTGTCCTGTTCACCTAGCAGCAAATAGGTACCTGGGTGTTAGTCGACTGGTGTGGGTCGCATCCTGGGGGACAAGATTGAGGACCCCAATGGAAATAAGTTAGACAGTCCTTGATGACGCACTGACTTTCTTGGGTTATCCTGGGTGGCTAACCCTCCGGGGTTAAAAATCCGAACGAAATCTTATCTTAAGTCTGAAATAACAGATACAGAGTCTGTCTGGATATAATTTTCAGAGGGGTATGAGAAATTTATTTTAGGCGTGATATACTGTTCCCCAAACTTAGATAGGTACCAAGGGAGACTGCTTTGGGAGGAAATTGTTAAGGCCACAAGGCATGATAACGTAGTAATTCTAGGGGACTTAACTTCAGTCAGATTCATTGGAATTTTTTGACTGGGAACCTACAGGGGGAAATAACCTGCTTGACTTGGTTCTGGCAAATAAGGAAACCCTTGTTAATAATATAGAAACAACAGAGGAACTCGGCACAAGCGATCACAAATCAATTACCTTTAGCATTGAATGAAAGTATGATAGTAGGAACAACTCAGTAACAGTTCCAGATTTTCACTTAGAAGATTACAATGGGCTTAGAGAACACTTATCATCTGTTGACTGGGGTAACGAAGAGAGCTATCAATATGACAGCTTTCTAAACACTATACATGCTGCACAAAGAACGTTTATCCCGTATAATGAAATTAGATCGAATAGAAATGACCCCAACTGGATGAGCAATAGGCTCAAATAACTTTTAGGGCAAAAGAAAGGAATTTATAGGCTCATCAAAAGAGGTGAGGGTCATCTTATGAATCAATATATTGACATTAAGAAGGACGTTAAAAAGGGAATAAGTAAAGCTAAATGGGACTATGAAATTAAAGTTGCTAGGGATTCGAAAACTAACCCAACAGGCTTTTTCCAGATTTATAGAACAAAAGTTAGAGATAAGATAGGTCCCTTTAAAAATAACTTTGGGAATCTTACTGACAAGGAGAATGAAATGTGCTCGATTTTTAATAATTATTTTCTCTCGGTTTTCACACAGGAAGACACTAACAATATCCCAGTAATTAATTTTTATAGTGGGCCTGAAGAAGATAAATTATGTAATATCACAGTCACTAGCGAAATTGTTATGAAACAAATAGACTGAAACAAAATAAATTGCTGGATCCTGATGAGCTTTTTTCAAGGGTTCTTAAGGAATGCAAACAAACTCTGTGAACCATTAACTAATATTTTTTATTTTATCTCTTCAAACAGGTGTAGTGTCTGATATGTGAAGATGGCTAATGTTATTCCTATTTTTTAAAGCAGTGGACAAGTTGTTACCATCAAATTACCGCCCGATAAGCCTGACCTCAGTTGTAGGCAAATTACTATGCTAATACTTTCTACAAGATTGATGGACTGAACACATCGACTCCTAGCTGAGGGAATGATTACCTCAAACTCTTCCTCTCCTTACACCCTTCTGATATGTATTGGACTGATTAAGCCACTGTGTGGCGAAACGTTTCTTCAGTAAAGATTTCCATATGTTGCATAAGTGTCTCAATCTTCAACTTATCGATTTTAAGCCATTTATCACATCTGTCAGACACTGCAACATCATGGGATCTTGATACAAAGAATTCTTCAACCTTGTCCAACCTTTGAACGAAGACCTACTTCGATTAGTGGATGGTACCACTCTGACCCCACCTCCTACTGCTTCGCCTCACCTGACTACAGTATAATAAGCCACTTCTACGGCCCTGTGCTGTACATTCTACAAGATTGATGGACTGAACGCATCGACTCCAGGCTGAGGGACTGATTACCTCCAACTCCTCCTCTCCTTATACCTTCCTGCTTTGTATAAGACTGATGAAGCCACTGTGTGGCGAAACTTTCTTCAATAAAGATTCCCATATGTTGCATAAGTGTCTTAATTCTTCAACTTGTCAGTTTTCAAAAGCATTCATCACATGTACTCGATTGAAGAGCTTGTTTTGTAGGCGAAACGTTTCGGAATAAAGATGCCTAACTGTTGCACATTTTTATTTAGCTATAGTCATTAGGTAGTGGTACTAAAGAGCCTAATGAGTGAGCTAACAGTGTCTCTCATAACTGTAAGCTACCTGCAGTAGGTGAATTAGCATATCTGGCCAGAATTTTTAGCAGTCTTGATGGATGAAATATTTGGATGTTTCCTAAACATTTATGAGGAGTCGTCTCCAAATTCTTGGATTTGACATTCAGGTACATAATGAGGCAGGGCGATGAAACTAGTTCTGCGAAAAAATTTTACTTTCTGTTAGATCTACATCAACTGGTGGATGGATGTTTCTTGTTGCCTAGCTGAAACTGGATGGTAGTAACATCAAAGAGTCTGCGTATTATATCGGAGGTGCCATAGAGATTAGCTCTTGCATGATAGTATGATGGTAATGGACTGACTATTGTCAGTCTCACTGTATCCTGGATCAATGAAATTCATTTGGAGTGATTTCCTTATCTTCCGCAGACTTCTGGTTGGAGGCCCCAAGTTATAAGACTCATCATTTCTATTTCTACAATACATTTGAAAGGTAGGTTAGGTAAAGTTCGTCAGGAAACAGGACAAGTATTTCCTGACGCAGGTCTTACTTATATGATGACCCGCAGTTGAGCTTTTGGTCATCGGACCGAGGCATTCCACTGGCTTACTGGTCCACCCCTTTAAAAATTATGGTAATGATTATACCCAGTGTTATGATTATTTGCGGGTACATAAAGTTTTGCATTTGAATTCCAGTGCGTGAGGGAATTCACGTCAGTATACTACAATCGTACCTCTTAGAATCTAGAGTACATAGGGACGACAGAGTCCCAAATGAAGGTGTCAGGATTGGTGTTAGGGACACGTTTAATTGCCAAGAGCAGGCCTGTGCAACCAATTCAGCCTGGAGAGTGAAGACCCAAATTAGCCACTCGGGCTTCACTCTAGATAGGAGCCATCGCTCTGTTGCACAACGTCGGGGGAACTTCAGACTGCATCCGGTAGGTTGATAATTGGATCCATCAGTGAATATAATTGAGGGAAAAGAAAGTATTCTCTGACTAGAGTATTTGTGTAACTTATATCATTATGTTTGGCTTTAATCTTTAGTCTGCCCGAAATGCTTTGCATAGCTATTAGCTTTACCATGTATGAAAAGCTTCATATCATTCACTCTCTTATACAACATACCATCTTGGTGTTTCTAAGTGTTTTTTTGTTTGCTGTTTACATTAATGCTTTAATTACGTTCTTTCAGGGAAAGGCGAAGATAATTATTTAGAATGGGAAGCATCGCGCTCATCTTCCTTAGAAAACATTGCGCGCATAATTTATTTAAGATTGATTACATAAATTCTGATCTATAAATGAACACGGTATACAAAATGTAGGAAGAATTTTTAATATGAAAAAAATGTAGATAAAAAAAATCTAAGCATAATAATGTTAAATAATCTATCATTTATAGAGCATAATAAAGCTAACACATCACAGACCAGGAAAATGAAAAAAATTGTATTATGAGAATTTTCAAAAGACGAGAAGCCATAATAACGTTTGTACTCTTCGAAAACACTTGAGCTTTCGCTTCCATAATGGTGTTCTGTGCTCACAGTTACTTTCAAGACAACACAGATTTTAGCTGGTAAATATGTAAAAGAACTTTTAATAATTGTATGGAATCAACGAAGTATCTAAACTACCGGAAGGACTTTAAAAGCTCTCGTTATGTACTTTGAAGAAGAAAGACATACCATATATATATATTATATATATATATATATATAATATATATATATAAATATATATATATATATATATATATATATATATATATATATATATATATATATAAATTATAGGGAGGTACCACCTCTAGAACTGTTATAGGGACCCACATCATATATATATATATATAAATATATATATATATATATATATATATATATATATATATATATATATATATATATATATATATACTACTATATATATGTCGTGCCGAATAGGCAGAACTTGCGATCTTGGCTTAAATAGCAACGCTCATCTTGCCATATAGGACAAGTGAAAATTTGTGTATGCAATAATTTCGCCAAAATCATTCTGAACCTAACGAAAAAAAATATATTTCACTGTGTTTGTTTAGTATTAAATTATTGTAAGCGTATTTAAAATATATTTTGTTGGGTTAGGCTAAAATAAATTGTTCTTGATATAATAAGGTTAGGTAAGTTTTCTAAGTTCCTTTTGGTGCAAAATTATAAATTTTTACATCAACTTTAATGAAAAAATATATCTTTAAACGTATAAGAGAAAATTTTAATTTTAAATGAGTTCTTGCTAATTGACCAGTTTTACATATTCGGCACGACATTATATATAATATATATATATATATATATATATATAATATATATATATATATATGTGTGTGTTGTGTGTGTGTGTGTGTGTGTTGTGTGTGTGTGTGTGTGTGTGTGTGTGTGGTGTGTGTGTGTGTGTGTGGTGTGTGTGTGTGTGGTGTGTGTGTGTGTGGAAAAAACTTGAGGGATAGGTTTGTAAAGTATACACTGCTTTAGGTAGGGATGCCATTAACATAGTGAACCCCGTACTAACATCTGCGATCCAACACATCAGCCTTTTATCAGCAGATATAAGAAACACTAGACAGAAAGCGCATGACTAGCCAGGTTGTAATGGTTATGTAGGCCTACAGGCAGCAAGAGCCTGTTTGATCAGACATTTAACAGAGAAGTCTGGCTTCAGGCCAGGCTGTCAGTGTGGAAGTCTCTAAATCGGTAACAAGTATCACTAGTGTCTTATATCCATGGATTTAAGACATGGACCTCTCTCTATTAACTTCTTCCTTTGATATTCACATCAGAGAAGGTAAGATAAGCTTTTGTTCGGACTTTTAACCCCGGAGGGTTAGCCACCCATGATAACCCAAGAAAGTCAGTGCGTCATCGAGGGACAATATGTCTTATTTCCACTGGGGTCCTTTATCTTGTCCCCAGGATGCGACGCACATCAGTCAACTAACACCCATGTGCCTCCTTTCTAGGTGAACAGGACAACAGGTGTACGGAAACGTGTCGAAATGTTTCCACCACGCCGGGAATCGAACCTGGGCCCTCAGCGTGTGAAGCGAGAGCTTCACAGGCCATGGTACATGACAATATCACTGAAGCAGAGGATACTATGGCTCATTACCTCTATAACAGACAAGAATAATTTGGCTGGAGCTCATCATGTACCTGGAGTCGCTTCCGAAGGTCAGCGCCCCCGCGACCCGGCCCCAGACCCGGGCTCCAAGTTGCTGACCTGATTTATCAAATTGTTAGTGCCTGCCGTCCAATATATACACCACAACCCGGTTAATCAGGAACTGTTTCTGATGAATCTGTCGAGTTTCCTGTTGAAGATAGCTAAGGGTTTGGTGGTAATTTCCCTTATTCACAAGTGGCGGTATTACTACCATAATTGATGACAACTGTCTCCTCAACCTTGACGTGTGGACTTCTTTCCTCAAACTGCTGTGAGGCACTGAAACACATCCCTTCAAGGGAAGTGCCTTGATAATGGTGAAGGACTCTTGATCCAAAGAATTGGAGCTACCCACACCTTATTTTCATTAAATCTCATTACCTCCTAACCCCCAACTGGTTCAGTGCTTCTATATGAACATGGCTCGTGGCTCAATGATAGCCCCATGACAAAAACTTAAAGGACTGGGGAGAGGGAGACAATCCTGTGACGAGTTGAAACGTTGGGCATGTTACCGTTGACCTGCTGCCCCTGTTCACCTGGTAGTATGTAGGTCGCATCCTGTGGAAGAGGATCCAAGGACCTCAGTGGAAGTAAGCCACAGTGATTAGTTTTCTTGGGTTATTCTAGATTACTAACCCTCCGGAGTTATAAATCCGAACAAAGTTTTCTTCTGTAGTGTGCGGGTCGAGAGAAGGCGAGCAAATTAAACACCTCAAAGACCTTTCCTTAACAATTAATAATGTGGGATGAAGATTTCCCTCTTAAAGGTGTGCTTCTGAAGAAATGCTGAAACTGATTAATTTTATGAGCCAAAATACTGATGAGAGTGATTGCCTCTTCACCGAGTATGAATTAGATAATGTATTAACTAAAGGTCGATCAACTGCTCATGGAGAGGATGGTATAACCTATGATATTCTCAGAACTCTAAGGCACATGCCTGATAACCCATTGTTGGCACTGTATAATCTCAGTTACATTGAGGACGTTCTTCCTACTTCCTGGACCAATAGTCTCATCGTGCCTATCCCTAAACCCCAACAGCCTGATACATTTAGACCGATCTCCTTAACTAGTTGTCTTTGTAAAACTTTTGAAAGAATGATACTTAACAGACTGTACTACAGAATCAGACACCAAACTTTCCCCCTACCTCTATGGGTTCATGAAAGGTAAAAGTGTGCAGAACTGTATTTCCACCTTTCTCACTGCATACACCTCTACTAGTTTTACCACATTTCTTGATCTAAAATCTGCATTTGATATCGCGAACACAACCGTTATACTACATGAACTAGCCAAAATGAATATTGGTGGTAGCTTACTCTGCTGGGTAATAGGATACCTGTCAAATAGAGTATCCTCTGTCCTCTACCAAGGCTTTAGAAGTGAGTCTAAAGAAATGCCCCTAGGCACACCGCAGGGAGGAGTTCTCAGTCCCATGCTATTTAATATTCTGATTAATGCTCTCCTAAATGCTCTGCCTGCCTCACCTAAACATATAGCTATAAACTATGCTGATGACATCATGATCTATACAACAGGGCATAAGAAGATGAGTACCATTCTTAATGAAGTTCAAGCAATTTGTAATCGACTAGGCCTCATAATATCTTCCTCTAAAACAAAGATATTAACAAGCAAACGACATCCCCCACCCATCTATTTACAGGGTGAAAACATTAGCTATGTTAAAACTTACAGATATCTTGGTGTAGATGTACACTTTAACAAATCCATTGTACCACAACTAAATAAGAAATGCAAATATAGGCTAAATGCTCTCAAAGCTGTTGCTGCTACAACCCCAACTATGGTGCTAATGTGAGAATCGTGAGAATGATGTACATAGCCTATGTTAGGTCCTTAATTGATTATGTTGCTCCCATGTTGATATTAGCTGGAGAAAGTTTTCTCCGACCCTTGGAGTTAATGCAAAATGAAGCTCTCAGAATTATTCTTGGCTGTCCCAAATCTACAAAGGTTCTTAATATTAAGACGGAGCTTGGTATTTCTAGTATCAGTGAGAGGATTGTTGAGATTAACACTGTATTCTGCATTATAATGTTAAGAAATGAACCAGACACTGTCACAATGCATCTTACTAAATGTCTCGAAGTAGATACACACAGATCTAAATGGATTGTGAAAACGTGCAACTGCATAGTTTTATAACCTGCATGAACTGTATCACTGTAGACAACAAGAGCATTTCACCCCTCCATGGAAGATGTGTTCATTTAATATCACATACCTGCAAGTCCCTCCCAAGAAGCTCATTGCTAGTAATCCCTTCCTTAAATCACTTGTTAAAGCAACTGCTCAAGAAGAAATTTCTCGCCTAGCTGGTAGTAATAAGTTATACAAGTTATATACTGATGGATCTAAACAGGAGTCTTCTGGCAGGGCTGCATCTGCTCTTGTTACCACCTCCCTAGTCAAGAACGATAATAAACTTTGTTGAACTAGGCATAAGAATTAACAACTGGGCGTCTACATTGCAAACTGAATTGTTTGCAATCCTAATGGCGCTAAAGCTAACTTACGACACTGAGAGTGACTCGATCATCATTACTGATTCCATGTCATCACTGAGTGTTCTTGATTCCTATAATGACTCCAACAACATGCTCATTGGAGAAGCCAGGTATAGTTACTCAAAAATCAGGGACAAAGGAATTAATATACAGTTGCTATGGATCCCATCACACATTGAATTACTCCTTCATGATAAAGTTGATATGCTAGCCAAGAAGAGTACCCTGAAGGAGAATGTAGAATATAACTTTAGTATATCTGTGTCTAGCATTAGGAATAATATTAGAAGAGAAGTAAATAATGAAAATGATTGTTATAGGGATGCAGTTAGAAGCCTGAGTAGATCTATAACCCACTATGATAACATGAACGTAGATAAGTATGTTTATGGAGCAACTTGCAATGTGAACAGACTGACTGATGTTGTAGTGGCCAGGCTTAGGCTTGGTTACAAGTACTTCTGGCAGTTTGGGAGACACACAGATGATGATCAAACTAAATGCAAATTATGTGACCAGGCATATGGTCACTGTCTTGAACACTGTGTGCTTAATTGTCCACTTATTGAGGAATACAGAGATAGACAGTATAATAACCTATGTTACATGTCAAGATATCTTATTAATGAAAATAAGATACCAGATATACTAAGCAAATTCCCTAAATTTGCTTGTAACACATAAGTGAACTGTAGATATGTAGGTATAAATCCATATGTACACCTGTTAACCCCTTTTGGGTCTTAGTTCCTAGGCCTTTTGTGTATCCATATGCTCTTGCGCTACCGTCTACAGGATGGATATGGGGTGCACAATAAACTAGCCACTTCGGTGGCAAAATCTAAAAATCTAAATCTCTAAAAGGTTGGTTGGTTTATTGCGTTTAAAACCCCTACTGACTACACGACGATAAGATTTATTTGGATTTTTAACCCTGAGGGTTAGCCACCCAGAATAACCCAAGAAAGTCAGTGCGTCATCGAGGACTGTCTGTCTTATTTCTATTCGAGTCCTGAAGTCATGGCCCCCAGGATGCCACCCACACTAGTCGACTAATACCCGGGTACCTACTTACTGCTAGGTGAACAGGGACAGCATGTGTAAGGAAACATGCCCAACATATGCATTCATACCAGAGATCGAACCACGAACACTCAATGTGTAAGGAGAGAGCGTTGCCAACCAAGCCACCTGTACACCACCAGTCAAGAATACTATAATCCCTAAAACTGACGTTAGAGTAAACTATCATACACACATAACCCGCACATAGCAGAGAGAAACTTATGGACAACGTTTCGGTCCCACTTGGACCATTAAATAGTCACACACACGAAGGTTAGGTTAGGTAAGACTTGTCAGGAAACAAGACAAGTATTTCCTGACGTGAGTCTTTGTCATATGATGACCCACAGCTGGAGCTTTTGATCATCTGACCGAGACCTTCCATTGGCTTACCCGTCCACTCCTTTAAAAATTATGATTATAATGATAACCATTACGCTCTCACTGACACACGAAGGTAAGGAAGCCAGTATTAACAGCGGCTATTTTTCTTTAAGGGCAAAAAGAGCACAACAGACAAATGTGCTTCCTCATGTTTTCCTACAAATACGTTAACAATTTGTTTAACCAAACATACTACTTATAATAAAAATTATTATGAATTATAAGAAGAATCTGAAAAGTGTTCATTCCCTCTTCCAGTTTTGAGGTTTTCGAAATTGATATAGAGCTATTATCATAAGTGAAAACATTATGCTACAAATGGATTAGAATAATTGTGTTAACTGCTCAATGAGCATTTTTTTAATATGTGCTAAACAAACCAACAAATGATTTTGGGGAAGGAAATTAGTTTAAATTTCGTCAGATCATTGTACTTCGTATAAAAGCCTTTTAATACTCAAAATGGCTGGGTTTTGATCGGAAATGACCGACTATTTTAAAATAACACAATGCTTATCGAAAATCATATTTCGATGCCATAGATACTTTTATGATAATCACTGCCAGATTAAAATAGTTTCTTATTTGGCATAAACTGACTTCTTAATACACTGAAATGCTTTCAGTCTGCCCTAAATCCTTTCAACATGAAGTAGTTAACTTCTAATTTGTCCGAATTCGTGGAGATGTGACTGCAGTGCCAACACCGGAGATAAGAAAGCTCCTGTAACTATGTCACTGTCTTTCTCTTCCTCAGGTATGTCCAGCCGGACAGGGTCTGTGGCACTGGGAAAATTCAAGATATGGGCATTCTAATTTGTGAATTGTGAGAACCCTTGATTCTGGGGAGGGAGGGGCCGGACAGCTGGGAATCTGTTGAAGTTGGGGATGGGAGAGAGAGAGTTTGGATTCTGTTGACCGAACGACGGGATCGGATTCACGGTGGGCTTTGAAGTTGGTCTCGAGAACCCTGAAGCTGAACCTTGTGAGTTCTGAGGCTCCTCTGGAGGTGGCGGTGGACCGGGGAATATTGGAGGAGCTCCCGTTGGTCTAGAAAACACTGCTGGAGAACTTGTGGAGGTGCTGGTTGGTCCTGGGAAGAACGCGTTGGACGTCGATGGTCTCTCTTGTGGAGAGCTTTGAGCTGTTGGTATCGGGAAGAATGGCCTCCGCGTCGTAACCTCCGGCGAGAATGGGGCTTGGCTAGTTTGTCCTTGAAAAAGAACGTTAGGGGTCGAGGAGGGAGGAAAAAATTGTTGGAAGTTTGTGGGTCTCTGAGAAGGACTGACGGTTGTTGTTGATACTGGGAAGAGGAAGTTCTGAGTGTTAGATAATGGGGATGAGTTACCTAGGGAATTAGTAGGCGGGACAAAGAAATTAGGATTGTTAGATAATGGAAATAAAAAGTTTTGGTCATTAGACGCTGGGAAAAATAAATTAGGGTTGTTAGATACTGGAAAAGAAGGATTTTGACCATTAGATAAAGGGAAAAATAAATTAGGGTTGTTAGACACTGGGAATGAGGGACCTTGAACATTAGAAACAGGGAAAAATAAATTAGGATTAGATAAAGGGAACAAAGGATTTTGGGCATTAGGTACAGGGACAAAGAAATTAGGGTTGTTAGAAACTGGGAATGAGGGTCGTCGGGTATTAAATAACGGGAAAAATAAGTTGGGGGTGTTAGAAACCGGAAAAGAAGGATTCGGCGTAGTATTGGATACCGAAGCAAAGGGATTTGGCGTTGTTGATACTGGGTTGAAGGAATTTGGATTGAACGAGCTTGGGTTTATTGGAAATGGGGTAAAGGAATTTGGGGTTGTTGGAACTGGAGTAAAGGAGCTTGGGGTAAAAGAATTTGGGTTAAAGGAACTTGGGTTAAAGGAGCTTGGGGTTGTTGGTCTTGGGAAAAGGGGATTTGGTGTTGTCGGAAATGGTGTAAAGGAGCTTGGTATTGTTGGTCGTGGTGTAAAGGTACTGGGATTTAAGGGACTAGCGGAGGTTGAACCTGGAATAAAGGGTCTTGGTGTGGTTGGGAAGAAAGACGTCGGCCTCTGGGGTGCAAATGGGAAGGGTGTTGTTTGCTGTGGAAACGAGGGGCTTTGGGTTGCAGGTGTTGGGAAAAGAGAATTTGGGAAAAGAGACCCAGGGAGAGGTCTCTGAGATGATATGGGAGGCGAGAGAGGAAAAGTGGGAGGCGGAGGTATGGTTCCAGTTGGAGGAGCATTCGGGAAACTGAACTGTGGAGTGTTACTCCCGAATGGTTGACCTGGCGAAACATCAAATGGCTGCCTTGCGGGATTATTAGGTCGATTTGAGGAGTTATCGAATGGAAACTGAGGTAAACCAGAAGGTCCACTGGTTGGGCGAGACCCCGCGCCGGTGCTGACAAGTATACCGGTACCAACAGGTACCTCAAGAGCGCGCTGGCTGGAAGGTCGAGCAGTAGCTGTCAAAAATAAATTATATTAAAATTATATATCTGAAAAAATCTTTAAAAATGTTATTGTCTTTATTAAGTTACACGGATTTAATTAATATAAGTGCGCTTGTTCCTTGACCAGACCTGGTGATAACTATGTTGTTATCATTTTTCAACTGTTCTAAAATAATATTTTGAGAATAATTATAATAAATAAAAAAAAATCCTGGGTTGAGAAAACTAGAATATTCTAAAGAACAGCTGAAAGATGATATTAAGATAATTAATATCAGACCTAATAAAGGAAGACGATTAGTTACATTACGGAAATCTGATTATCTTAATAAAATCAATAATATTTCAAATTATTTTTCCAAATTTAGACTGTTGAAGGTTGATAAACATCTCATATTTTGAAGTTAGAAAATAAATCAAATAAAGTATTACGTAATATAATTCATAGTTATATAAAAAGCCAAATTTGATGAAAATTCGGATTATAAGTAAATAATAGGCTTGAAGCGCAGATTATAAAATGAAATGTTCCTCAAATATAAAGTTTTGTTTCTTACGGTTGCCTTCCTGGTCCAGTGGTACTGGTTGTAGCATTGGTATAATGTTGCCACGCTTGTGTTGGATGTCCCTCAAGGCTGCTGTATCACCTTCACCTACACTATTTGCAGGTTCTCTGATCCGCTCACCATCTACAATAACGTTGGTCTCAATTACTCGTAACACTGGTCACCTGCCATTATCAACATATATATATATATATATATATATATATATATATATATATATATATATATATAAATATATATATATATATATAATAGATACAAAGACAATAACAGATAAGTACATTCTCTGCTACAACTTTCTTGTTTCTTTATGAATACTTATTATTTATATGCACAATAAAAATCTATATACAGTAGTTCACAATGACGTAAAAATATAGTAAAAAAATTTTGTAGTGTCTGCGCCATATGGGTTCTCCAACCTAACCTTGATGCTAGCGTAGGGCTCTTAATCCAAGAAACTGGAGATACCTTCCCCTCCCTTGAAGCAAACTTGATTAACACCATTCCCCAGGCACTGTATGATCCTTACAGGTTTAACGCTTTTCCATGAATATGGAGAGATGGCCCGATTATACTGGGTACATATCTTTGTTAAAACTGGTTGTCTTTCATATAATAAGTAATAGGTTACATGTCAATATGAAGTGTCATTATTATTATAATCATGAAGAAGCGCTAAACCCGTAGAATTATACAGCGCATGTGGGGGGGGGGGAATGGAAGGTATTCAGGCTCAATTCAGGGAACTGAAGCAGATCCAATTCCCTAGATCAAGAGCCCCTCACCCGCATCAAGGAACCTTCCTTGAGGGGTATGAAGTGTCAAAGACTACCTTCTGGCGGCAAGAAAAATGGAAAGCGTGCGCCCTTCATCCTGGCGTTCATCTTAAGTCTGGAATCAAGTGTTCCTCTGCGTCTTGATCCTGATCGTCTTAGAAAAGAGTCTTTGTCTTGTTGGCCCTTAGGTTGTGGAATGGCCGAGGGCCCTACATCAGGCTTCGAGGCCGTATCAGGTAAGGGACTAGGCCCTGAATTAGGACTTTTGCCTCCGACAGTTGAATCTGCGCTGGGGATACCGTCTGCGTGTGGGGAAGGTTGTGGAGTGGGCTGAGGCTGGGGAAGTGGCCAGGGTTGAGGGTTTGATCTGGGGATGGGGACAGCTGTGGCATTCACCACCACAACAACACACGCCATCACACACACCACCTGCCAACATACAACGCTGTTAGTTAATATTTTATTTAGATTACGTTATATACATATAGCACATATAACAAGACTGTCCTTAAAACTTAAAAACAACAACATTGCATATAGATCCACAAATATTAAATGTAATGATACATATTATTTATATTGCATATAAATATTTATATTGCAAATAGATGTACATAGTAGGATGACATTAGATATCGGAAATATAAAAATAATAGGATGCTACTGTGTTGTGATCCTTTGTTAAATAAGTGGAAAGCCTACCATCACATCTTGTAATATTTATTTGTTCACAGGATGGAACAGTATTCCTGATGAGTCTCCGTCATAATGAACGAAGGATCTACTGAGCGAGTCATCATTTAACTTTAGATCCATATTACATACATTCACAAGGGAGTACTAAACCAATAAGGGTCATACAGCACCAGGAAAATGGGACACAATAAGATTGGTTCAAAGACAAGAGAGGACAACATTTCCTTGAATCTTTAGATCCATACCTGGAGAAATTTTTCGATTTTTTGTCTGACAAACAAAATACGACCAATCAATAACTGATCTTGAATTGTCTATACAGTTTTCACTCTACACAGATGCCATTTACAAGAAACACTAAAAACACAGATAATAATTTCTGCATGCTGTAAGGACTATTAATATTCATTTGTGAACTATGTGTTGTGGATCTTAAAGGACCTTTGTAAAGTTTCCTTCAAAACCATAAGATTGTCGATTCTCAGTTACTTAATAATAGCTACAAATGTCAGTTTTGACAGATAGAATTTACATAATGATACAATAACGCTTTTGTTGTTTAAGAACGTCATATCAAGAAACAAAGAAATGTGTGATGGTGTAACAAACAATGTTCAAACATAATCCATAAAATTGATTTGATGTATAAAGGGTTGAAATTTATTTTAAACCACAGGTCCTTTGCCAGAATTTTGAAGTATGTATTATATACAATTTAACATTTATAACTAATATGTTTCTCGGTTAAGCGAGTACGTAAGAAAAGTCTAAATGGTTACAGAAAAAATAAATATTACAAATCAAAATATTTCTCATGAATACGCACTTTTTATACCACTAGTTGACTTACACGCTCTCTCTCTCTCTCTCTCTCTCTCTCTCTCTCTCTCTCTCTCTCTCTCTCTCTGCTATAACTTAACATTTCAACTTGATGAACCAGTACTACATATGAGAATAATGATAGCTGGTTAAGCAGACATTAAGGTAGTGGTAATGTGATCACTGGCTCGTGTAGCTGGTGTGAGGGGAGAGTTCGTTAGATAAGAGTGGACGCATGAATGATTGAATAATAATAATAATAATAATAATAATAATAATAATAATAATAATAATAATAATAATAATAATAATAATATCTTTATTTACTACAAGTACATGTACAAGGTATACAGGTCTAGCTGACATCAATGACATATTACTATATAGAAAGCAGCTTGTTATGCTGAGTATTTCGGGCAAATTAGGTCAGTTTTGTCCCAGGATGCGACCCATAACAGTCGACTAACACCCAGGTACCCATTTTATACTGATGGATGAACAGGGACAGCAGGTGATTTATGGAAACACTTCCCTAATGTTTTCCAGCCGTACCGGAGGTATTTCGAATCCCGGACCTCAGTATGTGACCTAAGAGCGCTAGCGATCGAGGAAATATTAATAGGTGAATGCTTGTTGAGTAAGACGCTATATGACCCTTGTGAGTTTATTGCTTAGTTATGATTATAATATAGCTGTTGGGTAAGTATCGGACATCTTTACCTCTAACCCATAAGACTCGGCAGGAGATGCAACATTCCCCCAGTGAAAAGCAGGGGCGCCACGTGTACACTAAGAGACAACACAATAAGTGTCAGGGGCTCAAGACTGCCTCCCAGCATACATAAGGGGGATTACCAGTAGACCCCTGGCTGTCTTCAAGAAGGGACTGGACAGACACCTAAAGTCAGTACCTGACCAGCCGGGCTGTGGTTCGTACGTCGGTTTGCTTGTGACCAGAAGTTACAGCCTGGTTGATCCAACCCTGAGCCACCACGAGGCCTGGTCTCAGACCTGGCTGCGGGGGTGGTGACCCCCAAAACCCTCTCTAGGTATACCCCACCATCGTTATCTCCACCAGGTGGGAGTCGACAAGGGACCCTCCTAGCGAGTTTTAAATCACTTCCTGCTCCCACCAAATCTGTAAGTTTGGGGTTCCATTCATGTTTCTTGTTATATCCTTGATGTTGGAGTTGTTACGTTAATATTACCGGACCTGACTTGATTTATGTTGATTAACTTTTTCTAAGTGCTCACCATTTCTTTCAAAGGCTTTCTGCCTATCATTGAGCGTTTGCCTGTCCTTGTATTCTTTATTTTAACTTTGTGACTCAGCTTGGGACATCCAACTCATGCGAGACAAAGACGGTAGCTAGATCTAAACTCTAGATCTGTGACTTCACCTACTTTTACTATCATCTGGATTCCATATCAGTGTCTTAGCACACTCAGGAGAATTACCATCAGGTGTCTGTAACCTTCATAAATGAGCACTTCAAGCCAGAGTTTCGAATTTCCCCGGTGTCTACCAACAGTGAATCACCACACACAACATGGTGTCTGTACTCCGTGTCTCTACCGTTGTTTGTTGAAGCGAAGACTTTTATAAGTTGTGTCCAACTAAACCATACCACGGGAGGGGTTAGAACCCGCGATCAGAGAGTATCATTACGATTTCGTGAGTCAAGTTGTGTCCAACTGCCTCGTCTTTCCCGTGCTTCATGGTCAACACCGTGAATCCTGCCAGCTACCTGCAACATTCCATCTATACACATTTTTCTTGATTCTGTATATAGGAGCATTAGCTTAGTTTCATGTAATTATGTTATGTATTTAATTTTTCATGTTTTGCTTCAGCTAGGAAATTTTTATGGTTCAGAGTTTTAAATTTAAATTAATTTTGCACACTTTTTCTAAAACTGAATATTCTTACCTGTTAGTTGTAACGTTTATGTTTCCACAAAGGGGAAGGTCCTTTCAAATACCTTCTCAGTCTGCAAGGGCGACTATAACTTCACAATGGAAACTACTGTACGGGTGGTGTTGGCAAGGGAGTCATAGAACTTCAGGCCGGACCGACGTTTGTTGGTGATCATGTCAATACGATTTCGTGGTCACAATGGTATTATTTTTTAAGAAAATATTGACATGAAAAAATATGGATAACACCCGGTATGCTCCAGGTAGGGATATTCTGTCCAGTTCAAAATCGAACTGAAAAATTTTAGTCCAAAAAAAATAAATGACAGATGTAATCTGAGTGAAGATGAATAACATAATATCGTACAATATTACCCGGAACTTACAAAGTATTCACCTTTTTCTCTCTCTCTTTTCTTCTAACTTTCCTTTGGTAATATTCAATATTTTCATATTTATATTCGTGTGTTTTATATTGATTTCTTGCACTACACTGAGGGGAAAAATATCTCTAATCATCAGTCAGAAAGAAGAGAGGAATAAAGTGTGAAGATAAATGAGGAACATAAAGATGATATAGATCAGCAGTGACACCCGGCACAGAGGACATGTTGTCAGTCAGGAACCATGATAGAAGGATCTTATCAACTGTAAACAGGATGATGGTAAACCACTCTACTATGTCTACGACAACTTTTATGGTGTCGATTCAGTAGGACTAGTTACACTGACATTTATTACATTTTTTGGATGGCCTGCCAGACACTGGGTTAGTAAATATGATGAGAATATCATATACTACAAAAATATATACTGTTTACACGTGGAAGGTTTGATTATCATAATTAAAGTTAGCCGGTGTTTACAGTACCTGTGTAGACAACGTGAATTTACTCTAAGATCTGTGCTGTAGACAACATATGTACCAAGTATTCATTATCAAGTTATATTTCAGCAAATAACAAATGACATATATGACAATTTAGTTTAATAGCGCTATTATGCATCTCATACACATACTGTGTGGGGTAAGATAAGATTTCGTTCAGATTTTTAACTCCGGAGGGTTAGCCATCCATAACCCAAGAAAGTCAGTGCGTCATCTACACCTGGAAGATACTGGAAGGGACTGGTCCCAGACCTGCACACCGAAATTACTATTTATGAACACAGGAGGCTTTGCAAAAGGTGTAGGATACCTCAGATGAAATGCAGGGGAACAATGAGTACACTGAGAAAAAAACAGTGTTAAGAAACCACGACTCTTCAACACTCTCCCTTCATGCATAAGGGGGATCACCAACAGATTCTTCACAACAGCCCCTGATCAGCCGGTTTGTGGTGCATACGTTGGATTACAGGCAGCGAGCACTAACAGCTTGATCGATCAGGCTAGCAACCAGAAGGCCTGGTCTGGGACCGGGAGGCTGGAGACGTGAGTTCCAGAACCGACTACAGGTAAACTCCAGAAGCAGGTAATCATCACTGGAGTCTTGATGACTCGGGAGTGCAGGCAAGAAGATAGGCGCTTGTATACTGGAGTCAGATGAGGTGCAGCAGATGAAGGGAATGTTACTAGTGGGCGGGACCTAACCTGGAGTATACCGGGAGAGGGTTTCGGGGGTCAACGACCCCGCGGCTCGGTCCGTGACCAGGCATCGCGGTGACTCAGCGCCTGATCGACCAGGCTGTTACTGTACGAAATGCATCCCGGCTGGTCAGGTGCTGATTTTAGGTGCCTGTCCAGCGCCTTCTTGAAAACAGCCAGAGGTCTATTGGTAATCCCCTTATGTATGCTGGGAAGCAGTTGGACACCTGGCACTTATTATGTTGTCTCTTAGTGTACTCGTGGCTCCCCTGCTTTTCATTGAGGGGCGTTCCGTCTCCTGCCGAGTTTTTTCCTTTCGTAGGGAGTGGAAGTACGCCATGAACATGAGTTGAACAAGAGATTGGCAAGTAAGTCGTGCAGATCTAGATTCCATGATGTTGCTGTGTGG